GAAAACAAAGCATGCCCTGAAAACCACAGGAGCACCCAAAACCCGCAGGAGCGCCGAAAACCAAAGGGGCGCCGAAAACAAAAATACGCGGGCTGACAATAAAAACGGGGTCAAAAACCAAAGGAGCGCCGACAACCAAAAGAGCGCCGAAAAGCAAAGGTGCGCCGAACATCAAACGGTGCCGAACACCTAACCAACGCCGAAAACCAAAGAGGCGCCGAAACAAACAACAAATCCGCAAATCAGCGGGGCGCCGAACACCGCAGAGACGCCGAAAACCAGAAGAGCGCCGAAAACCAGAGCAGCGCCGAACACCACAAGGGCGCCGAACACCAAAAAGCACCGAAGCCCCAAAGGGCACAAAAAACAAGGTTGTCGAACTTGAAAAGGGTGCTGGGAATCAAAGGAGCGCCGAAAAAACAATAGAGAGCCGACAACCAAAGGGTCGCCAAACACCAAGGAGGCCACCGAACACCAAAACACGGCCGAAAACCAAAGGAGCGCCGAAAGCCAAAAGGGCACCGAAGACCAACACGGCGCCGAAAAACCAAAGGAGCGCCGAAAACCAAAGGGGCGCCGAAAACTACAAGGGCGCCGAGAACCAAAGGAGCTCCGAAAACCGAAAGGGCGCCGACAACCAAATGAGCGCCCCAAACCAAGGGGGCGCAGAAAACCTAAAGGAGGACGAAAACCAACAAAACGCCGAACGCAAAAAGGTGCCCCGAAAACCAAAGATGTGCCGGAAGCCAAAAGGACACAGACCACCAAAAGGACACCGAAAACCAAAGGAGCACCGAAAACTAGAAGGGCGGGCGCCATAAACAAAATACCGAAAACCAATGGGGCGCTAAAAACCGGAGGAATGCCAGAAACCAGAGGGGCGCCGAAAACCAAAGAAGCGCCGAAAACTAAAGGAGCGCCGAAAAATAACGATGCGCCGAAAGCCGAAAGGGCGCCGAAAAACCAAAGACGCGCCGATAACCAACAAGGCGTCGAAAACCAAAGGGCGCCCAAAACGAAAGGCGCGCAGATAGCCGAAGGGCGCCCAAAACCAAAAGGGCGCTGAAAACCATAGAGTGCCGAAAATCAAGACGGCGCCGAACACCACAGAGGCGCCGAACACCATGAGGGCACCGAAAACCAAGAGGGCGCCGAAAACCAAAGGAGCACCAGAAACCAAGAGGGTGCCGAAAACCAACGATGCGCCGAAAACCATCAAAAGGGTGCGCAGAAAACTGAAGAGGGCGTCGTAACCAAAGGAGCACCAAAAACCAAATGAGCGCCGAAAACCAAAGGACCGCCGAAAACCAAGGAAGCGCAAAAGGTCCAAAACGCGCGGGAAGCCAAAAAGACATCGAAAACCACAAGTACGCCGCAAACCAACGGGGCGCCGAAAACCAAAGAAGAAAAATAGCTTCGAAGCCCCCCTCTGGCCAGGGCCCTCCGGCCGGAGGTAGCTTCGGAAGCCCCCCCCCCCTTTGGAAACGGGGGGGGTAGCTTCCAAGCCACCCCCTGTAGCCAGAGACCCCTCAGCTACGAAATCCAAACAAAAGGAGGGGGGGTTAGCCCCCCCCCCTTGAAAAGGGGAGCCCGGGCTTACCCCAGGCCCCGAAAAGGGGGGGGAGGGGGAGCTTCCAACCCCCCCTCCCTTTGGCTAGGCCCCCCCCCAGTTCCAAAATGCCCACAGAAGGGGGGGATGGGGGGGGGGGGGTAGCTGCGGAAGCCCCCTCCCGTTTTCCAAGGGAGGGGTGTGGGGGGCAGCTTGAGAAGCTGCGGGGGCCCCCCTTCTCGCGAGAGGTGCGCCACGAGCGCGCTCCTCCTTTGGAGACTGCCGGCCCCAGCGCAGGGCCCACCCTGGCCCGCCATCCCTCCCGGGCCGACTGCGCTGCCGAGGGCCTCCGGGGCCCGAGGCCCCTCCTCCTCCGTCTTCCTCCTTCCACCTTCCTCCTTCCTCCTTCCTCCTTCCTCCTCCTCCTCCTCCTCCTCCTCCTCCTCCTCCTCCTCCTCCTCCTCCCCCTGATCCTGATCCTCCTCCTCCTCCTCCTCCTCCTCCTCCTCCTCCTCCTCCTCCTCCTCCTCACACCTCCTCCTCGCTCCTCGCTCCTCCTCCCGCGGCCGAAGTACGATGGCAGCAGCAAGCGAAAAAAGTTCGAAGCTCGATCCCTTCGCCTCGAGGGCCGAGGGCCTTCGAGCCGCGGCCCTCCTCCCGCTCGGCGGCTGCCGCAGGTGGCCCTGGCCCTGCGCGCACACGGCCTCTCGCGCATTGCTCGGGGCCTCGGGGACCTCTGGGCGTCGCGAGCGCGGTCCTGGAGCCCATCTGGGCCTCGCTGGAAAAGCTGCGGCCGCCCCGAGGCCACTGCCACCTCGTGAACGTGTTCTGATTCGGCGTCTCGACGTTGGGCGGAAAGTAGGGGAAAGGGGGGTGTCTGGCTCTGGACCTCTGTTTCCTGCGACGGTTTGCAACCGTGCGTCCTACGGGGGTGACTCCGCCTGCTTGAAACGGGCGCCCAAGACAGCCAAGATCAACTCCAGGGGGGGAGCGAGGGAGGGAGCGAGGGCCCGCGCCGATCGGCAAAACAGTGAATAAGAAAACGACCACCTCCGGCACGGGGGGCCACATGGGAACCCCACCCCTACCCCCCACGACTTCTGAGGGGGGGGGTGTTCACTTCGTTCGGGAGCTCGCCGAGCGAAGTGAGCCCCGCCCTCCCCCTCAGAAATCGTGGGGGGTAGGGTCGGGCATCTTCTGACCCGGGTCAATCCAGACCCGGGTCAGCAGGAAACCAAAAATAGCAATGCAGGAAACAAAAATCTGCAACGCAAAACTTCGCAAACCCGGGTCAGCCAATATGCGCGGCCGCCACGAGCGGCTCGCTAACCTGGATCGACCAGAGGGGGTCTTCGCAGGATCCTGCAGGACCTGGTGCCCTGGCTGACCCCCGTTTGCATTGACCACCGTCTCTTGAGCCCCGATCGGGTTCCCACGTGGCTCCCCAGGGCGACCCCGTGGGCCTGCTCTTCACTGCCACCGCTGCGGGTCGGCAAAAAACCGTGGCCACGCGCGAGGAGGGAGGAGGGGGGAGGGAGGAGGGAGGAGGGAGGAGGGAGGAGGGAGGAGGGGGAGGAGGGAGGAGGGAGGGGGAGGGAGGAGGAGGAGGAGGAGGAGGGAGGAGGAGGAGGAGGAGGAGGAGGAGGAGGGAGGAGGAGAGGAGGAAGAGGAGGAGGAGGAGGAGGAGGAGGAGGAGGAGGAGGAGGAGGGAGGAGGGAGGAGGGAGGCGGAGGAGGAGGGAGGAGGGACGAGGAAGGAGGGAGGAGGGGGCCGAGGGCGCGAGGGCCCCTTCTGCCGGAGGCCTCAGGCCCCCCCGCCCCGAGGGCAGCACCCGAGGCGGAGCGGGCTGCCATCGGGGGCGGCCAAGCGGGGGGCGTCCAAGAGGGGGGGGTGCAAACCATCGCCCGCGGCTTATGTTGCTCTGAGGAGATTCCCGTGCCTTCGGGGAAGGCTCCGGAAACCTCTCAGAAGGCCGGGGGACTTCCGAGCCTTTTGAGAAGGCCTGCTCCTTCTCACGTCCACCCCTCGCACGCGGCCGATCCTTCCCAGGGGTTATATTGTTCCCATCCTACTTAAGGACCGCATCCCAGAAATAATTTCTCGAGAACCGAAAGTGTCAAAAGAGTGTCGAAACAGTGTCGAAGCAATGCCGGGCGAGTGTCTCCCAGGGCCCGACACCCGAAAACCCTTGAGTTTCGGTACTTTTCTGCTGGCGCTCGAAATTTCTTCCTGGTGATCACGGCTGAAGTAGGTTGGAGCATCATAACCCGTGGCATGTGCGCGGCCCAAGGGGGGGGCCAGGGACGTAATGAAATGGGAAGAGGCGCCATGAGATCTGGGGAAACATCATGGCCCACGCCATGATGTCCACCCTCCCTAGTCATCACCCCCCTCTTTGCCGCCCCCGATGCAAGGCGGAGGGCACCAACGCGAAGAGCAGACGGGCTCCCCTCCAATCGGGGGGAACGACAGGGGGGGGGGGTAGCATTGGGTAGGGTAGAGAAGCATGGCAGCTCACGCAGCTGACTTCCCCCGCGCCTCCCGGCGCCGGGAGGCGCCCATGTATCGAGGAATGGGCCCGGCGGCGGGGCCGAAACTAGCTGCATGCAGCAGATTTTGTACCCCCCCCCTTTCCCTATCCCACCCGTGCGTTCGGCCCGATCCAAGGCCTGGTCTGCTCTGAACCCTCGTGCCAGCTTGAGGTCGGGCGTGTCCTCCTACAGGCGGATCTTGGGCGAAAGAAAATAAGCAAAAGATGCTCAGACCTATTCAAAACAATCCCAAAAAATCGTCCCCAGACTATTTCTGGACTATTTTTTGAATACTCCTCCAGTAGAGGGGACAGGCCCGACTTTCCCAACACGAAGAACAGACGGGTTCCCTCCCAAGGCCAGGACTGCTCTGAACCCTCGCGCCAGCTGTGCGAAGCAGGGACGGCCGACCTCTGGCATAGCGCCTTGCTGTGCGAGAGGGCCTGGCCGCGCCCAGCAAATCATGACGCCCACGACTGGCCGCGCCTCCCCCCCGCTCCCCCTCTGGTCACGTGAGCACTTGCGCCGGCGCCGTGCGGGAACTCGCCACTCCTTCGTATTCCCAGACGGCGCTGGCGCGAATCGTGACGTGACCGGCCACCTCCCCCTCCCTTCCCCCGGGTCACGCCCGTCATCAGAGCCTGTTCTTCTAGGCCCTGGCAAGTTTACTTGCGTGGACGCCGGGGGGCCTGAGCCTGAAGCAGGCCGCAGGCGACTTGCCGGTGCGGAAAGCACGCAAGTCGACAGGCACTTGCACGCTGGTGTCCGTTCGAAGCGGGGCGAGCGAGGGGGGGGTGGGGGGGGCGCGAACGCCACGCAGGCAAGCTTGCCTGCATCTACAAACAAAACAGGCTCCCACCAAGAGCTGAGAACACGGCCTCGGCCTCGCCGGTCTGCGATCCCCACCCGCGGCGGGCCGCCTCCCCCGTCCGCGCGGCGGCCTCCTCCGCCGCGGCGGCCGCCCGCGAGGCGGCCTCCACCGCGGGCCCGCGCAGGCTGCGCACCTCGGCGGCCAGCGCCTCGGGTCTCTCGACGGGGCCGACGGTTCGCCGAAGCGGCGGCGGCGCCGCCGCCCACGGCGACGTCGGCGACGGCAGCGGCGGTGGCGGCGACGGCGGCGGCGACGGCAGCGGCGGCGGCGGCGGCGGCGGTGGCTGCCGTGGCGGCGGCGGCGGCGGCGGCGGCGCGCGTCGGAGCGCCTCGAGCGCCGCCAGCGGCTCGGGCGGCGGCGGCGGCGCGGCCACGCGGGTGCTCAGGGCCTGCAGCTGCTGGTCGAGCTCTTGGAGGCGGCCGTCGTCGGCGGGGGCCCCCAGCTGCCCGACCTTGGCAAAGAGCTCGGCGACCTGCTGCTCGAGCCGGGCGGCGCGCTGCTCGGTCTCCACGCTCGCAAACTGCGGAGCGTCGAGACGTGCCTCGGCGACGGGCACACGGGGGGGCGGCGCGAGGGGAGCGGCCTTGTAAGAAGGCCAGAGGATGCTTCTTAGAAAGCGGGGGCCTCCTCAAGAGCCCCTGGATGCTCATGAAGAACGCGAACGCTCCTCCAAGGCCGGGAGGGCTCCTCAGAGCGGTTGCGCGCAAGGACCTGGCCGTTGAGGCAAGAGTGGCCTTTGGCGCGCGCGGCTTGCCGATCGCTGCACGCAATGCGGCAATAGCGTCCTGTGTGCACGCCCACACGCAGCCGATCCTGGACGACCCCCCCCCCCGCGCCCCCCCTGCCGATCCCCCTCGCGCCACTCCCCTCGCGCGCGCCGCCGACCTCGTCCTCCGGCGCCCGGGCGTCCCCGCTGGGCGGTGCTGCAGACGCCTGGGCCTCGAGCTCCCGAAGCCGGCCGCGCAGCTCCCTCGACTGGTCGTCCAGCGCGCCCAGCCGCTCCTCTACGTGCGCAGCGCGGGCGGCGCGCTGCTTCTCCGCCTGCCGCTGCAGGTCCGCAGAGCGTTGCGCCTCCTCCTCGAGCCGCGCGACCTGTCGCTGGAGCTCGGTCAGCGGGTCCAGCGCAGCCTCCGCCATGGCAACAGGGCGGCCTCGTTCGAGGGCGGCCTTGAGCCCGTGCCCTCGCGCCGGGAACCGTCAGAGCAGTCCGTTCTGCAGGCGACGCGCGTTTCCACACACGCACGCACAGTCGCAGGCTCGCGCAGCAGATTGGGCGCCCCAGAAGGGGGATCGGGCATACCATGGCCTCAACAGAGGCCTGCCTGACCACAATGTCATCCGGCTCTTACCAGCCTAAATAATTGCGCCCGATACGTGGTCAAGATTTCACGGATACGGTTTTGTCAGACAAGGCTTCGGGGTGTAGCGGAATATGAACCACGCAGACACACACACACACACACATACCGAAACATTCCATCAAATAGGCGCAAACAAAACAAAACATCAATGTGCCATGCGACTTGAATGGGGGACGATATCGGCTGATCGAGCGGCTGCCGGGCAGAACCGCACTCTCACCAGATGAACATATCCTCCTTGAGATCGCAAGCGGGAAATAACGATGCCTGACAGTGTAGGTAGCCGTCGGGCGCCAGCATGTTCTGCTGTACAACCTACGTTTCCATTCATATAAGCATATGCGTACATACATACATACACACATATGCACATACATACGTACAAACATAAATACATGCATACATACATGCGTACATACATGCGTCTTTACATGCATTCACATAATCACATGCAAACATGCGCCTACATGCACAGTCATTCGTGCATACATACATATATACACGTACGCCCATACTTGCATACACACATATATACATGCATACACACATTAACCCAACCATACAATCATCCATCAACCCATCCATCCATATATGCATGCATGAATACACACAAACACACATATACATACATGTACGCATTCCCTACATCCGTATGTGCATACACATATGTAGGCATATATGCAGTCATGCATACACACGTGCATCGACGCATGCATAGACATGCACACATACATACATGCATGCATGCATACATGCATACAGATATGTCCGCCCATCCATACATGCATGCATCTGTGCATGCGTGCATGCGTGCGGTGGGCCTCGTCCGAAGGAGCCGCCGATGGGAGGACCGTTCAGGACTTCCTGCGCAAGGAACGGTTTCCCGGGTGAGCCATTGTCAACGGGAACGCGCCCCGCGCGGGATCGGGGTTCGCACGGGGGCGAAGCTTCTCTCGCCTGTCCATGGGGCATGCGTTGCCGCGCCCTTCCAGCATAGCGTTCGCGCTGCATTCGCGCGGCGCCGTGCCTCTCACATCGGAATAAACTTTCGGAGCGCCGATGGGCATTCGAACGCAAGGACCGTGCAGGTCATATGTTTTGCGGCGGTTTCATCAATATACCAATAGTACTGCACGCACGCGGCGTCCCGGCGACTGCATGATTACAGTATCGTTTGTTACGTGATTGCGTTGTTGTGTGATGTCCTCTTCGCGTCGGAAGGGCGCTGTGGCCGCCGCGCCAGCCACTGGGGTCGCGCCGAAGGCGCGCGTCCGCAGTGCAGTGGCATCCGCAAGCGCAAAGCTCGCTGCCAAGAATTACGCTTTCGGCTTGCGCAAAGTTCGCGAGGGAGCAAGGCGCAAGAGGGGCGCCGCCACGCGCGGCTAGGCTGGATCTTTTTTGTTAGCAAGGGGGGGCTTCACTTGAAAATGCCACTGCGCCGATCCGAAAGTTTCCCCAATTTCGCCACCGCGCTCGCCGCGGCAATCTGGAGTGGCGCGCGCAGGAAAAGACTCGCGGGGCCCGAGGGCGGATGGGGGCGATGTCGCGAGGGCAGAGTCGGCGCGCCGACGGGCAGCCCAGTGCCCCGTTTGGCCGGAGGGGCCCAGTACAATGCAAGGGCAGAACCAAACCCCCGCCCGGAGTCGCGGGGTCAGGTTCCCCTTCCAATCCCAAATCCCTGTGACTTGTGCCAAACAAAAATTTCGGGTCCAGTTCGAACGACCCGAAAATATGCAAACCGGCCAGGACTCCGTGCAAAAACATCGTTCTCGAAGTCTTCGGACACACTCCGAAGAAACCGAACATGGGCAAACCGCCTAGAAAATCTTATCACAAACTAATTATCGGTGGTTCCGGGCCTCGTCCGCAGGAGCCGCCGATCAGCGGGCCGCTCAGGACTTCCTGCACAAGGAACGGTTTCCCGGGTGAGCCAGGGCGAGGCTGCTCTCGCCTGTCCAGGGGGCATGCGTTGCCGCGCCCTTCCAGCATAGCGTTTGCGCTGCATTCGCGCGGCGCCGTGCCTCTCACATCGGAATAAACTTTCGGAGCGCCGATGGGCATTCGAACGCAAGGACCGTGCAGGTCATGTGTTTTGCGGTGGTTTCATCCAGATCCCAACGGTACTGCACGCACGCGGCGTCCCAGCGCCTGCATGATTACAGTATTGTTTGTTGCGTGATTGCGTTGTTGTGTGATGTCCTCTTCGCGTCGGAATGGCGCTCTGGCCGCCGCGCCAGCCACAGGGTCGCGCTGAAGGCGCGCGTCCGCAGTGCAGTGGCATCCGCAAGCGCAAAGCTCGTTGCCAAGAATTACGCTTTCGGCTTGCGCAAAGTTCGCGAGGGAGCAAGGCGCAAGAGGGGCGCCGCCACGCGCGGCTAGGCTGGATTAGTGTTACTTGTGTTGTTTTCTTCTTCTTTTTTGAAACATAGTAAGGAAAAAAACAAGGGGGGCTTCTTTTGAAAATGCCACTGCGCCGATCCGAAAGTTTCCCCAATTTCGCCACCGCGCTCGCCGCGGCCGTCTGGGGCGGCGCGCGCAGGAAAAAACTCGCGGGGCCCGAGGGCGGATGGGGGCGATGTCGCGAGGGCAGACACGGCGCGCCGATGGGCAGCCCAGCACCCCGTTTGGCTGGAGGGGGGCCAGATCCCATAGGACTTGAGCAAAACAATTACCCCAGTGCGACCCGACCTAGAAGTTGGAGCCACTAGGGACGCAGCATTAGTTGCTATGTTATGCTATGCCATGCTATGCGGCGCTATGCTATGCTATGATATGATATGCTGCGCTATGCTTTGCTATGGCATGCTACGTTATGATATGCCATGATGTCCTGTGCTATGCTACGCTATGATATGATATGTTATGATAAGCTGCGCCATGTCATGCTATGATGTGTTATGCTATGATATGCTATGATATGCTGCGCTATGCGATGCTATGCTATGCTATGATTGGCTATGTTATGCTATGATATGCTCTGCTAACGCAACGCTGCGCGATGCTAAGCTAAGCTACACCTAAGCTGACCCTCTAGGCAGAGCCTGGGTAGGGCATTACACCCATGCGAATGCTTTGCTGCGCTATGCTATGCTATGCTGCGCCATGCTATGATATGCTCGGCTATTATATGATATGCCGTGCTGCGCTATGCTATGCAACGCTATGCTATGCTGCACTCTGCTATGCTGAAGCTCGGCGACGCTAAGATGAAGGTAAGCTAAACAAGATAATCCTGAGCTAAGACGAAGCTAAGCTAAGCTAAGCTAAGCTAAGCTAAGATGGAATAAGCTAAGCTACGATGAGATAAGCAACGCTAAGCTAAGGGGACGCAACTGGGGGGACTGCGGGGCGGACGCCGGGGGAACCGCCGGGGGCGATTAGCACTGCCCGGCCCTTTAAGCACACAGGGCAAGAACCCTTCTAGGCAGAGCCTAGGTATGGAAAAATTCGGGTCCAGTTCGAACGACCCGAAAATGTGCAAACCGCCTAAGACTCTTTGCGAAAAACATCGTCCTCGAGGTTTTCGGGCCCATTCCGAAGAAACCGAACATGGGCAAACCGCCTAGAACATCCTATCACAAAAGGGGTTCTCGGTGGTTCCGGGCCTCGTCCGAAGGAGCCGCCGATGGGCGGACCGTTCAGGACTTCCTGCACAAAGAACGGTTTCCCGGGTGAGCCATTGTCAACGGGAGCGCGCCCCGCGCGGGATCGGGGTTCGCACGGGGGGGCGGCTGCTCTCGCCTGTCCAGGGGGCATGCGTTGCCGCGCCCTTCCGGCATAACGTTTACGCTGCATTCGCGCGGCGCCGTGCTTCTCAAATCGGAATACGTTCGGAGCGCCGATGTATAGACGTGCGTGCATACATGCACACACATATTCAGACGCACCTGGCATACATTAGCGCATACATACATACCTACATGACACCCCGTATGCACACACATGTAAACACACATACACCCACACATCTACATATGCACATGTGTATGATACATACATACATAGTTATATGCATACATACACACATACACACTTACACGCATAACTCCGTACACATACACATACACATGCATACACACATGCATACATACATACATACATATATTTATACAAACATACATACCTACAAACATGCATACATCAATCCATACATCCATACATGCATATTTAACCGTTTGATGCGTACATCCAAACATGTACACATGCACATCCAGTTTGTATACTATCTTACAGCTAACACGTATGTGAACCAGCGTGGACCCAAACAATTTGAGTTTGGCACCGTCGGGGGAAACGCTATGCGGAGTGACGCATGTGACGTTGGATACGTTGTGCAAGCCACGCTGTGGGAACAGTCTTGTGCAATCTCTGGGTGCACAGGCCACGTGGTTCTGAGCTCTCGTGTGTCACCTGTGCGGGTGTGCGGCCTGAGCAGTGCTGTGCAGGCTACGCTGCGTGGGCTCCGCGGCGCGAGCTGTGCTGCGCAGCCTGCTCTTGCCCATCAGAGGGGCACCCCGTGCACGCCCACGAGGCGACCACGAGGCGGGCACCCGCCGACACCTCGGCAGACCCCGCCCGCGCCCCGCGGGCGCGCACGGGGCGCCCCACGGAGCGGCACCTCGGCCGCCCCACCCCGGGGCACGGGGGCGCCCGCGGGGCGCCCGCGGGAAGGCGCCCGCGGGCGGGCGCGGGGCGCCCACGGGGAGAGACCCCGGCGGGCCCGTCCAGGGCACGGGGCGCCGACGAGGCGGAGCTTCGGCCGACCCACCCGGGCAC